GATCAGAAGAGTTGGTGACATGATCAGCCAAGTGAAGGATTTGGCCTTGCGTGATTGTTGTTTAGGTGTAAACTGCAAAATTGTGTAATTGGTGTGAATGTAGATTACCGAAAAGTACTAAATTGTGTGAAGATAATCAGAGGGAGTAGGCTGGCTTTAACTGAGATCCAACGCTATGCATGATGAAAACCAATTTGCATCTTCTGTTATGCCTTTGGTGCTGGCTTAAGTACCTTCCAATGTCATTTAATGGCGCTGTTTTTGCAATTTATTTGAGTCAAACTGACTCGTTTATTCCACTGCGCTCAAATATTGCTTTTTAGAATATTTGTTTTGAATAAAACACATTTCTAATTGAAATTCTTTTAATTATCTTATTGGCATTATCAACTAGCTTTGTGTGTTGAATTTGTCGAATCTGCAAATTTGAAAGTCGTACTTACTTTTTATCACGAATGCTCCACGTGGGATGAAGTTTAGTAAAACATAGCACTTTTTTACCTACGAGATTAAAGTAACGCCTAAAGTGATTTTGTTAGTAAATGTAATGTGCAAATCACTATTTGTCCTTTGAACAGAATAGCACAAATACCGGGGCATTATAATTGGTTCACTGATTTTTCGTAATCAATCGAACGCCCCTTCTAGACTTAGCAAATAAAATGCTGATTGGTTACTTTACGCCACTTGGCATTTTGATTGGCCGACGTTAGCTATTTGAACTAGTGTTTTTGACTGGATCCTAATTAATGCATGCTATTGAAGCACACCAAGATAGCTTTTAGGAATCCCGTGGCAGCATGTTTTAGAAATGCCAGTTTTGTTGCTTCTATATGCCAAACGTTTGTAGTGTTGCTTCACTTTACAAAAGGTTACGGAAATCATTGATCGCGCGTAGTGACAGGTCTTATCCGCGTGCAGTTTTTTATGCGAAACCAAAATTGGAGTTTGATTCGATGACTGACAGTCACTTAACCAATAACGATCCACAAATTTTTGTTTAAACCAATCGAAATAAGTGAACATTTTATGTGTTGTTGAAAGAGGCAAGCAATTGGTCGAAGTGCGGAGAACACTAAAGAAATACTTACGATAGTTTTTAGCTAAACGAATAGATGTTGATGCATTGAGGACGAAGTGTCAACATAATTAAATACGTAACGCCGATTTCTTCAAGTCCACTAAGAAGGGTTTGTACAGTAAATAAATAGTTTAGACACCCGTTAGCAGGTCTCTTAAATAAATTGGGTTTTGCCTGATTTCCCAGGAGCATCGTAACTATTCATTTTGCTGGAAGGATCATGTCTGGATCTTCGACCAGACTTTCTCATCGGATTGGTTTCGTCTTTTACTTTATGCAATCTGATCTGCAGCATGAAATCACATTGCAAGACCAGCTATAATCACCTCTTTTTGTCATGTTATTCGTGTCACAGGGTTGCTGTGTTAGTGGGTACTGATCCAATCCTATTTTGGGCTCAGGAAATCGTTATTTTTTTCCGGTGAAAAGATACTGGGTTGACTCAAAAACCCCTTATTGTGAAGATGAGAAGACTAATGGTGATTGGAACTGAATTGATGGAAATTTTTCTTCTCTAGCTACGAGCGTTTCGAACGCTACCGTCTGCGTGCAATGCGCGCCCGCGTGGCCAATCGTGAAGCCCTCGTGAACATCTCTCACCCGGCCCTTCCACCAACACAGTCGATGCCACCGCAACTGAGTCTTCCTTCAAGCCGCACTGCCGGTGCTCTGGAGTTCACCGCAAGCTCGTCTATGGTGAAAGATGACGACGACAATCACAACGAAGATGTCAACGACAACGATGACGACGACGAAGCACTCCTGGATGCTGTGGCCGAACAAACTCAGGTACGCTGGGCGAAGTCAATTCACGTTTATTTAACTTCCCACACATCGACGATCGAATAAAACTAGTTTATTTTCCGGAGGAATGCACGGGTTTGCCTATTCTTGATCACAGTGGTCAGAAATACGCAAATGTTCACTTTCACGACGCGTAACGGTTTAGTTCGTCGTGAAAAAATTCGTACGATAAGCTGAAAAATGAGTTCGTTGATTTGAGGTGTAGATAAAGTGGGCGCAGGCGTAAGTTTGCGTAGTCCACTCACTTCGTGCCCTACCCTCACTCACCACCTTCCCTGAAGCTGCGAGTACACACGCAATCTACCGTGAAAAGTACTTTTGCCAACGAGCAAATCCATACCCACCACTACGACGCGTTGCCTTTTTGTGGCAGTCCCCTTCGACTTTTAACGCTTGTGATTTAGCGGACCCCAACGGTGAGTCAACAGAACGCCTCGGGTTGCACGGAGCTGGTCTCAGTGGCTGATTGGTCAGACAATGCGCTTGGCCTGCAATCTCTCCGTCTGAACGACACGTCTCACGTGAGTTTAAGCATACCCGCCTAGCCGACAACTTCTACAAATTAACTAGAGTTTTCTCTTTTTTTAGGCAACAAGAAGTGATCCCAACGTCGGTGAGTACATAACTGGAAACATGTCGTAGGTCATAGGTGGTACCTTAACTGGTTGAGTGTGTGCGTGTGCCTTCATCCATTTTGTAGCACAACTTGAGCGTGTCTTCGGAGCTGGCTTCAGTGGCCTCACCACCACCCCGATCGAACCACAAGTGAGTCACCAGCCACTGCGTTCAGCGGCGCATCCCCAACTGGAGGAGCCACTGCAACCAGAACCGGTCCCCAGTTCCCTTTCAAAGAGTCTGCCACAACAACCAATCAAAAAGAGGACCCCCTCAGAGGTGCGACGACTGGAGGAAGCCTTGCTGCTCTTCGATTCGTAGAATATGAATCCATGTTAGTTCCCACCAACGCCACCACGGCCCTGTACATACCCCTCAATATGCGACTACGTCGAGGATAATGCCAACCAATCATGACAAATGTCTATCGGAATAATTGTGTGTATTTATGTAAGCGCATATATTAGTAAAGCGAAATGCCAAATCGCTTGCTTTGTAGCTTGCAGCCAGTGTTTACACTTGAGTAATATCGCATAAGATTGCCGCAAATTCAAAATCCCAATCTTCCTAACTAACAGTCTTAGTTGTGTGTGCGTGCATTGGTGTTTGGAACGACGAGAGTTTTGTACTCGACGCTGATGAATTGTTCCGTATTCGTCGGAGTGCTTTGTCGAATTTGTGTCTTCTTCGCGTTCAACTTCGCTGCAACTTGTACCTGAACACAATCCAACTGCCAACTGGCCATCATGCAGTTTTGGATTTCCACCGTGTTCTTCATCACAATTGAACTTGCAGTGTTCTGCAAACCCTCAGGCAGAACTTAAACATGTGGAATCAACGATTCTAGTCTTGCTTATGGATTTGATCAGACAGACTGATAAACCATTATCTTGCGCCTAATATCAACGCATTCCGTCCACGGATCTTCTTATTCGTGAGCATTACCAATTTGATTGTTAAGGTTGGGGTGTGATGTTCGATTGTAGTGTCCGTTCAAGGTCGCAGTGTGACGTGTACAGATGGATGGTTGCACAAAAGTGTCTAGATACGAGGTGGTAGACACGATGGATAAAATTCAGCACAAGAGATATAGAAAGGTGTTTGGGCAGTACTTAATTCTTCAGTTCAGAACAACTCAGGAGTCATAACATTTCGTAAATTAGGCAAATTTTCCTTAACATCAATTATCGATGCTGCATAACCGCAAATATAAAATTGGCTTTCAAAAAACCGTCTAGTGAACTCGGTAGAACATTCATTAAAACTCATTTAAACCCCTCTCCTGCAATCAGTTTTCATAATTGTACAAAATCGATTTTTTTGAAAGCGTTTAAACAAATGAACCCGCGTTCTTAGGCGATGTTTGATGCAACAAGATTTCTGCTAGCGAATTGCTTACTGTATAAACGATAGAAGACCAAACTTGATAAGTAGATGTAGAATTTCGGAATGTGAGTGTAAGAAGTTTGTGTAGTAAAATGGAAATTATGGCTATTCAGGCTAAAATGTATCTGGAATCTCAGGTTTGGAGCACGCCACTTCCGTCTTTGCACAAATACAAGGAAGTGACCTCGTCCGCAATGAAAATGGACCAATAGGAAAGGCGCGGGTAAACTGAACATCAGGGATGGTGTGCGTGGGAGCGAAAAATGTATAAGCATTAAATTATCAATTTTTGTGAAAGGTGAATTTGTAGGGATGTTAATTACCTCAGCGAATGCCTGCTGTTTAAAACTTATCAAAAATAAGAGTGTAATTTCGCTTGTAGAAACAAGTTAACCATCTTTTTCTCTAAAAAAAGTGGAATATTGGCGTTTTTGTACAAAAAAGCAGCTAACACGTGCTAAATCTGTCAATATCATGGTGATATTCCATAACATTACCCTGCTTCGTTCAGTATCTAGAAGATTCCATTCGTGACAGTTTCGATCGATTTCTAGTCAGTCAAAGTGAATTTTGTCGATAACTGCGTAGATCATAAATTGATGGGTTAAAGTATGCCAAAGAGGTGTACCTTCGTTTAATTGTAGAAGTCTGCCTGTCTTGAAGCTTCGTTCTGTAAAAAATTGAGTAACTTTCCTCATTTTGAAGCTGTAATGCACACCGTTTCGTACATCAATCGACCCCAGACAATCTCATTGGCTCATCCCAGGGTCACCAAGAACTAATATCAGACCAATAAGAAGCTTTCTCTTACCACTGCCATGCTCACAAAAACTGCATCCACCTGTCAGACAAGATTATGGAAAGTTAAAACGAGATGTCACGTTTAGACGTTTGTCAAACTGACATAAAGTGTCTATGAAACGTCTTTGGCATCAGTCTGATTTTATTCTAACAGAGTCTTTTAGCAAACTGCGCGTATCCATTAAAGTTTGTTGCAAAATTACAATAGAGCTGTCGCAGGCGACTTTAATTTATCACTGTGTCTCGTCATGATTAATTTGAGCCCAAAAAGAACTCTGATTTTGCCTTAAATGAAAGACCATGTGTGGCAATAAATTAGAAAGAGAAAAAGAGCAATTTAGGGCAAATAAATGACTTACCAAAGTGCAGCAATGACAAAAAACTGCGCAGGACGATTTTTCGAAAGAATACAAATCAGATGGAAGAAAAACGGATGGTAAGTCTACTTTGCTACGAGATTAGAATTAAACGTAATTTGAAGATTTACTGGCCGAATTCAACAGCAAGTTATTCGAAGAATTTAAACAGGACGCAAAATGTTGATAAGTTTATTGAAAATCGATAGTAGTAGAATAATCAACAAGTACACGTCACCTTAAACAGGCTTGATCGGTTTCTCAATTTGCTGGTGCGATCCTTGTGGATCAAATGCATTTAAGAGATCGCATATTACTTGAGTCATTAGTGTGAATAATTGTTGTTATTAAAACAACTTTTGATACTGAATATCAGCGGCAAGTTGGTAGAAATCTTGTCGCAGACACCACTATCTTGGAAACATGAAAAGGAAAACCAAGACGCAGTTGCCGATAAACCTGATTGGGTCTGAGTGATTCTGACACAGTAATGATTTATTGGGTCATGCTGCAGAATTACACAATTTCAAATTTAGCGGCCGAATTGTGTTTAAGTAACACGATGTTCACTCCACCAATCAACGCGCAGTGATTCTCAGCGGTTGCGGTGTCTTAAAAATTCTGAACCACGGTGCACTACGTTACCATTCAATTCAAACAAACAAACAAAATTGTTATTTCTTGACGACGACCAGCTTCCGACATTTGCCATTGTTTTCTGAGTTTGTTGATTGGATATAGAATGAAATTCGTTATTAGAAGGAAGTCAACTTACAACACAAATTACTACTCCTTGCACCTGTCAGTATCATTGATCTGCGCATAATGATGCTTTTTACATAATGGACATTTCATCACTGGTTTTATTAAATTCAGCATCAATTTCAATATTCGGAAAATTAAACTAATACGCGAAATAAACGATAGGACATGATTTGTAAGTTCCCCCATGTCTTACAGGCACGATTTTGACAAATTAAGCACATTTATTTAAACATCATTTACGCATTTCTTTCCAAAATAGCTGTAAACTAACCACGCGCGAAATAACCTGAATCAAGTATTTTTTTTGATAATAAGTAATGCACACGTATAAATGAGCAGCGTTATTGAAATCCATACATATTGTCACGTTACCCAATAAAATATTCAGACCATTAGGGCATTGGGGCCGTTTTTGACAATTTATGGTGAAATGCGTTTCACTAAAAGATAACAAACAGCAAAATTAAATTAAAATGATTTTGTACACTATTAATTTTGTGGTGTTCGAACCTTTCAAAATTGTTCGACAAATTTGCATTAGTAAACAAAGTAGGACACGTCCATGCACACCATTTTTAAAATTCAAATCGACCGCCCACATCTTACTGACTCCGGTCACGATGATTGTAATATTCGCTTTATTTCCACCGTTTATTATTACTTGATTTCGTCTATTAACGCCGAGTTTTCCAAATATCTAATTCGCACGTTGTCTGCTAGCCAAAAACCCAACTCAACCACACACTTGATACAAAGTACCCGCATTCCCATATTAAATGTCCCCTCAAATATTTGCAGAAAATTAAATCGGATGCATACCAAAGGTAATGCATTTTGTCGTACGTTACATTTTGCGTTTATCAGACTCTGCACAAAGCAAATTAAAATTTTATTCTTTGATCAAATGTCCGCACCCTCCTTCGTACTTACCCACGGCAGTTGCAGACGCGCAATTAGCCTCAAACGCAAATTTAATAACAAAATTTAATCACAAATCTACGCAGTTATTTCTGGAACTCACCTCATTAGCCAATCAGCTGCGTTCTCAAGTACCTCCGTCCACATAACCCCACACCCAACCACCACGAATTGCTAAAACCCAAGACGGAATCACACTGCAGTGGACACGCGCAGGCGAAGGGCAATGAAGTGGGCTCATTTGGCTACAATGTGGAATTTGTTGCGGTGACAGCGACCTCTCCAAGTAGCGTGACACGAGGCACTAAGTGATGCAGTTAGGCTGTTCGGTTGAATGCGCGACAACCAACATTAAACTGTCTGCTTGAGTTTGAGATTTTGATGATTTACAACGCCCAAATTGTCTCTGATATTTGCCGAAGATGCAATTTGAAGGCGAAATAACCAGATAATGGGCCAGCAGTGATTGGGATGCATTAAAATTTGCGATGAATCGATGGTGAAGAGGCGCGTAACATTCAGAAATTGTGAAATTTGTGCATCATGAATCAGTTGTGTGGTTAAGTTTTATAAAAGCAGACAATCTGACAATGATACCTCAAGAAAAACACAAACTCCGGAAGTGAAGCGGATACTGCAATCATCGTGACCGGAGCCAATAAGATGTGGGTGGTCGATTTGAATTTTGGAAGCCGTGTGCGTGAGCAGATGATATGGCAGTTACATGACCACTGCATATTCTTTAAACGATTAAACATCTCAATCGCTAACTAATTTTATTATTATGTACTCTTCGTTCTTGGTGGTACTATCACATAATGAATTATTAACAAACGTTCGTTTTTGTCCAAAAAATATTTTCATAAGGAAGCGTCACGTGATAGACATTGGCCTCTGTGTATTAGTGGTCTGGATATTTTATTGAGTAACTAACCTTTGCGCACAGCTAAGTTACTGCAATTTCGCATGCGTGAATGAGGCTGAAATAAGATGGCTTAATTTGTGGAATTCGTGCCAATGAGATACTTGGGGAAAGCGTGATTTCGTTGGAGTACTTGCCAATTTTGAAGATGATTTCGTTTCAGCTGAAACTGA